CAGTTTGGGGAGGGTAATTTTTTCCTATAATTCTATCTGTGCACAACCCTTTTTTCCTTATTTCTCTTTGTTTCTCTGTCCTCAGATGTGTTTACATTTTCAACTCCCTAATAAAATATTCCCAAGGACCAAGGAATCTGGAAGATTTTTATAGCATTCTGAGGTTCCAACATAGTAGTTTGTACATAGGAGATACTTCAAAGTGCCTTGAAATGAACTAAAGAAGGATACTTGTAGATCATTGGTTAAGCTCCACCAGTTTTGACTGCACAGGCACTGACTTCTCATTGTAGAATTGGCTCTGATGTCTTTTCATTGTCTCTTTTAGGGTTAGGTAAACATGCTTTTTCTTTACCTCTTTTTGTTCACAGCTGTTGCTGGCCTGAATTTCTGAGATATCAAATTTCTACTTGGGACCTTTTGGGCCCCAACTCAAAGTAAACACTTCCCTTAAAAGTCAGACAAATGATATTAACTTGAACCCTCTTTAATATGAGATTGCAGATCATAACATAAACATGTGAATGGTATCAACACTGGAAATTTTCTAAATGAAACCCAAGGAGTACCTGCATTCATTTTTATCATACCTTTTATTTGAAAAGCCAAGTACACTGTGTAAACTTTACCCATTAATCCTCAGAAATACGTAAAGATATCCAAAAGAGGGGCTTGCATAGATAGGGTAACATAGACAGGCAGTATCGGTGTTGTTGGCAGCCTACTACCTTGCCCGGTATTTGAATAGTTCAGCTATATTGCTTAAACAGCATTGTTTTACTGAAAATGAGATATTTGTGCTGTAATAGATCTCACATTTTCACATCATACTTACATCACTTCTCTTGATATTGAAAACCTTTATCCAAATTTGCCAATATTTACTTAGTTTTGAACTCCCCAACTTTCTTCTGTAATCTTGCTTCTTCCTCTATTCACCTTCCCCCCATCTGTTTCTCTCTCCCCCTAAAGCTATTAAAGGCAAGATGAGCACTCAAATCAAATTATAGCACTGGGACTTAATGTATCAACTTCCTAATACTACTTGCATTTCAAAAGACAACATTTTAGTTCAAAGAAATTAAACATCATTTCCTAATATCAAAGATTTTGGGGGATGGAAAGCTTTCTTTCATTGTTCTCTTGAATAACATGTAGGGATTATGTATTCTTCTTTCAGCTCCTAGAGGGAAACATTTGCAATGGAAGAAGGCAAAGAAAGTAATGATTAGGGGAAAACAGGATGTTTTTACTTTTTAAGGGGTTGGAGGGAGAACAGGGTAGAAATTTACCTTTTTCATATCTGGTAAACCATGGTAGTTTGTAGTAATAAAATGAATATTTTTAGCCCTTAGCCAATATTTACCAATGATGAAACTTATTTGGGACTTTATTTTCTTTTGACAGAATGATCATAACTTATAACATAGAGCCACATTTTGTAAAATGGACTGTGTCTCCTTCCCCTTCTTTTTTCTTGCCCTGTACTCCATTAAGGATCGGAACTCAGAGCTAACAGAGGGCTACACATTATTATCTCATCAAATAGAGCCCTTTCGTGACTTCACGCCAGTGCTCAAGTCAATCCCCTTACCAGAAATCGTCTTCCCCCAGGTCTCTGCCTATTTAATTTCTACTCAAGGAGACTCAACTCAAATGCTAGCTAAAGGCCTTCTCTAAACAGCTTCTTCACAATAAACAGACTAATCTCTCCATTACATCTCCATAGTACTAGTGGACACAATTATATTTTAGAACTCATTTTGTATAATTGATATATGTTAATAGGTCTCTCTGCTCCACAGAATATAAACTACTTTGAGTTGGGGCTAGGTCTTTTATACATTTTCTGTGTCTTGATACTTTTATGTATTTGACATGATAAATATATGATAAATGGATATGCTAAAGTCTGGTTAGCATAAAAAGTTCACAGTTTTATAAAGGAGACAAGGTTCACAGACATAGGCGAGCAAGATAGTATACTGTACCAGACTAAGAAAATTAAATGTAGGTGACCACTGAATTAAAAGAAAATATATTAAGCACCTAGGAGTCAGGAATTAGGATAGGTAAAATGTAGTCACTATCTTTGAGGTATTCACAATCTACCTTGTACATTCTTTTTATGTGTACACATCACTTTACATGTTGTTTCTTACAACAACCCTGTGAGATAGGTCATTATTTTCATTTTTATAGAAATGGAAACAAGCTGGGTGCAGTGGTGCACACCAATAATCCCAGCAGCCCAAGAGGCTGAGGCAGGAAGGTGAGAATTCAAAGCCAGCCTCAGCAAAGGCAAAGCACTAAGCAACTCAGAAAGACCTTGTCTCTAAATAAAATACAAAATAGGGCAGGGGATATGGCTTAGTAGCCAAGTGCCCCTGAGTTCAATCCCTGGTATTCGTACCCCCCCCCAAAAAAAAAGCAATGGAAACAAAGGATTTGCATTCCCAGGTCTTCTGACTCCAACACTAAGATTTTTCTTCTCTACATAAGTGTTTCTCAAATTTTTCCACTGTTGGACACTTTCCCAAGGAAGTATAAATGTACACTCCTCAAGGTTGGGACAAGCTCAATATCTGTTACCTTAATAATTAATGTTGAGTATAATTTCTATAACACTTTGCATTGGATCAAACTGAAACTCTGGGAAAATGAGGAACATTGACCCTAAGTTCTTGCATGTCCTTAGTACAGGGTTTCATGACCTGAGGGGCACAAGCACAATTTGAGAAAAACATGGCTACACACTAGCTTGTACTCATTGTCTCTAGGTTTGGCTTGAGTTCCCACTCAAAATTTTGGGGAACTTCATCAGTTTTTGTTTTTGTTTTTACAGGCTTCTTAGTGGCATAATTTTATTTTTTCATTCTTCTCTATAGATTAACAAAACACAGATTTTAAGTAAGTATCGGAGGATGACCCTTCCCTTCCCAGAAAGGATGTCTCATTCTGACAATAAGGTCTCTTCAGTCTGCAAGCTCTCTTGTTGCTGGTTGAACCTAAGAGTTTCAGATGTCTGTCCCAATGGCCAGTTGGTCCTTGAAGGCCCAAAAGGCTCAAGGACACTCTCCTCAGTACCGTCACTAGAGGCAGCTAGGGGCTGCAGCTCTGCTGAGCCCTCTAGTGGCTACTTGGGGTAACGTGGCTCTTTCATGGAACCTAGGAAGAACTCAAAAGTTGCACTTGGGAAGCCAGCCTGTGCGACACCCGGTAGCAACCATTATAAAAGAATGTCTTGCTTCTCAGCTTCCTTTTCTTAAGGCCTCTAGCGGATCTCGGTTACCTTCCTTAGATAAATTTCCCTGCTCCCTTAAAATTTCCCCCTCCCAGGGTATGGCAAAGTAGAGCCATCATTCTCTCTTGGCAAGTAAAATATTAGAACCTGGAGGACCTGGCAACTTTTTCTAATGCTTTTTTGCTTCCTCCATTTTTCCCAGGGACAGAGAGCTCATAGATATATATTTGAGATTTTTCAGTATAATTCATTTCCACATGGCTTGCAGGCTCTGGAATTAGACATCCAGGATTCAAATCATGGCTCTCACAGTTAGTAACCAGGCAACTTTAAGAATGTTATTTAACCTTCTAAGCTTCTGCTTCATCTGTAAAATACGGAGAATAATAATATGTATACTATACAGGTTGGAGGAAGAATAACTCTGATAATGTATGAAAGGTGCTAGTTTGGCATACTGAAAGTGTTTAACAAACATTAGCTATTCTATTCTTTTTCAAAGCTTATGTCTAGTGTATACCATATCTATTAACTGGGTCCATAAAATACAGTCTTTACATAGGATACGAAGGCAAAATGAATTTATTAGTAGCTCCTAGTTTCCTAAAGCGGCTAATTGTGGCCTTAGGTTAGGAGAAAGGAGGCTCATCTGTGTGATACAATCTGTGCAATGGGTATTGGGAGCATGAAGAAATCTAAGTGGCCTGGGTCCTAATGGAGGAACTGCGTGTTGCACACAGGTATCCTTCCACACACACACCCTACACACCCCATGTGCAAGCATTCACTAAATATGGACAAAAGCAAGTGGGTTTCAGGACAAGGCAGGAACTGAGCACTCAAAGGCCAAGCCACCCAAACCAATCAGATTCACCATCCACTAGGAATCTAAAAGGTGGCAAAGCCTCACAGCTCAAAGTCCATGCACAGCAGGAAAGTGGCCAGAAAATCTGACAGGTAGAAGCCCGAGAGAAATACTGGAAAAGTTAAAGCTGAGAGCTTATAACACCCACAGGCCCAGAGAAAGGTTAGTGTGAGCTGAACAGCTGTTCCATCTGGTGCCAGAGGCCTTGGCTGTTGTCTTCTACAACCAGGCAACTTAGGCCTCCCAGACCAGCCCCACCTAGAAAAGCCAATTCTTCTGTTCTTAAAGGGGACTGATGTGTTTGTGGCAGGGAGCCTTAGAGGGCAAAGCCATCTCTTAAGAATGAATGGGAAGGGAGGGAGAGAGTGGTGCAGTCTGTGGCAGGGTGGGTTTAACTAGCTCCAAAGGAAGGAGCTGTGGCTTAAGCCTCAGCCTCCATGTTATATTACATGCGTTTCTTTTGGAGACAGGCAGGGGCCTTGGCTGCCAGGGACCCTGACAAGCCGCAACTTGAGCTGTGCCTTAGCGCCCAGGCTGAATTGGGAGCGGTATAAAGGGAAGAGGGAGGGCACTCGGGAAAGGGGGTGGCGTGGGGAGGCGGAGGGGAACAGCATGAGCAAAGGCATGAAGGAAGAATGAATCTGCAGCGCGTTGAGGATGGCATGGAGACTTCACTGATTGGAGCTGGGAGTTCTGCGGGGGGATGGAGGCAGCTATGATTGGATAGTTAAAGTGGGGCCAGATTTGGAGGGCTTTGAATGCCCGACCCAGGAGCACTCAACCCAGCTCCTGACTTGCGATTTCCGTTCAAGACCGAATTACCTCAAGGGTGGTTAATTCCAACGGGTGTTCTTCTTTGGGGGCTTCAGCAAAGTCAGCTTATCCTCTTACCTGCTTCAATGCTCTTCATTTACTCAGAGAGGAAGTAATCCTCACTTGTCGAGGGGAGGGGGGATATTGACCAATTTCACTTTACTTGATTTGAAGATACCAAAAAAAAAAAATCCACGCTAAATATTATTCAATTTGGTTTCTCCTCCTCACGCAAGTTCTTTCTCTTGCCAGCACCTCCCCCACGTTTTCCTGCTCCCCTCCACCGCTCCGCCCGGCCCCC